ATGGCACCTGAAAGATGGTGGGATATATTAGAAAGCAAGTAAACATGTTGTCCCTGATGTTGATGTGTTGAAAGAAGAAAAGAATGAGCATTACAGTTTGTGGTATATAGGGCCGGAGAGCGGTCATGCTGCCCATGCTGACCCGTGTCCACAGAAAAAAAAAAAACCAATGGGCACATGAGCATCAGAACAGGACCACAGAGCAACGGAGGAAGAAGGTGGCCTAGTCTGATGAATGACGTTTTCTTTTACCTCATGTGGATGGCCAGGTGTGTATGTCATTTACATGGGAAGGAGTTGGCACCAGGATGCAGTATGGAAGCAATGCGATGCTCTGGGCAATGTTCTGCTGGGAAACTGAACCCTGCCATTCCTGCGGCTGTTACTTGACACATATCACCCACCTAAACATTGTTGCTGACCAGATTGGCTCTCACAGTGGTCACATGATCAGGAGCCCATCCCACTGACTACCAATCACAGTTACCGAAAGCAGTTGGTGACAGCTCAGTCACTGTCCTGAGTGCACAACCTCAGACCCCATGAACACATATGTGCAGCGTCTGGATGAGAATGCCCACCTGTTGCATGTATGCATTACAGAAGCAAGAAAGAAAAAAGGTAAGCAACATTTTGTTAAGTTCTACTATGTGAATAGGAACATATAACAAATCTAAAATAGATGTCATAATTGGACTGCAGTGGAAATATGTTTTAGCGGATGATACACAGCTGGGTTTTCTTTAGTGGTGCAAACAATTCAAGAGTTGTCATGTGTAAACAGCAGTGAAGTATGAGTAATAAAACATTCTGAGCATGCCGAACACTTACAGGCATTTTTCAATGCTAGTTCTGAATAGTATAGCAAAAGTGTGCTGAACCAAGACACTACTGACAGATGCAAGAAAAATGTAGAATGAAAGTGTTTGTAATTCTTTTTCACCTAAAATAAAAAAACATGTAATACATACCTGCTCTGTGCATTGGAATTTGCACCGAGCAGCCCGGGACCCTCCCCTTCTGGGGTCCTCTGCCGGCACTCTAGGCTCCCTCTCTTCTCTGTGTTCCACCAGAGAAAGCCACTTCTATTGGAGGTACATGAGGGTGCTATCTTCAATGCCAGCCCCCCCCCCAATCTCATCTCATGACTTGACCGACAGCAGCAGGAGCCAATGGGGGGGGGGGGGGGGGGGGGTGAAGCAGCTGCTGAAAGGCTTTTTTTTACCTTAAAAGGGTAAAAAAAAAAAAAAAAAAAAAACACAAAAAAACACACCACACCTTAGGACTTTAGAACCATTTTAAGTAAAGCTTCGGGCTGAGTAGATAAAAACAGCATGTCTGACAGACACCTGAATGGTCTTAAAAGCTTAGTTTTATTGTACATTGGCAGTAAAAAAGGTATCAGTTGACTCTAGTTTAATACCCATTCAGTATCATGGTGTCTCTGACATTTCCCCTCTGCCACTGTTGTCTTAGCAGTATTCTGCACTGGGAGAGGACACTGCCCCACTATTCCCAGCTCAGCAGCAGTGTCACAGGAATGTCCTTGTAACCTTATCCTCAACTCAGCAGCACTCTATACTGTCTAAGGCTGGAGCTATAGATAGCAGGCAGATGAACCTAGCCGTGAGCTCTTTCCTTAGGTCTATTGTCCTTATTGGTGTCATTCAGATCAGATTCAGTGAAGAAAGGCGGTAGAGAGGAGACAGGAAGGAAACTGCTGATCACAGGGCGACTCCAGAAGATGCCCACTAGAGGAGGATTGCCGATGCATAGGAGGGATCAAACACAGCAGCATCTGTATCAGTTCATAACTGTGGAAACCTGGAGGATAGTCAATGGCCACAGCAGGATAGCCAATGACAGGATGGAAAAAGTCAGCAAGTTTACATTATGCAATAATGGTATTATATCCTAGAATATCAACGTGTTACTAAACCCACAACAGAAAAATCAGACTGTTTATGACAGGAAGCGGAAGTTGCTTGTTATGTTGGAGAAATTGTACGGGTCGGGCTGAGGGGAGTGAAGTGGAGTAAAGCAGCTCAGTGTACAGGGACTATATTGTGATCAGAGCCCATTCTGGAGGACGGCAGTGGTGCGGCAGATAACCCAGGGGAAGGAAATCTCTCGGACCAGACCAGGCTGCTGCTATCCTTAAAGGGGACCATATATACAAATGCGTATTATGATTTTACATCTGGTGAGTGCGCAATCTTAACGTCTAACTCTGGCACATCACCTGAATGACTACTAGAAGTATACTGATCACCTGATTGAGACCATTTGATGGATCTTCACCTTTATTAAATTGTGGACTTTATATGGTATCATCTGTGGTGTAATGTAGCACTAATAAGTGCTCACGATTGTCACATATTATAGCACCTTATTGCAGATTCATTTACACCTGATTTGCACTGTCACTTTATGCGGGCATATCATTAAGTTGTTGATGTCTATATGTGCATTGTTATTTATTTTAAGTGCTGCACCTTTCTTTTATTTACTTGATGAGAAAAGGTATTTAGCAGTTTATATTTACTGAAATAATTGAATTACTGTGTACTGTGAGAGACCAGATATAGTGAATGCAGGGTCATGGGTTTAGTAACACTTTAAATGTTAGTAAACTTAAAAGCTGGGGCAGAAAATAATTGGCTTACAAATGTGAAGAATTCAATTTCCTTTAATTCTGTAGTAAATTCCAGTGTCACCGAAAAGCCTGGGATAGGTTTGGATGCTTCGCAATAAGGAGGAGGATGATTTAAATCTTTAGTTAAAATATTTCATACATCTTATACTATAGGGTAAGCTTGCCATCTTAAAAACAGTTTTCAAGCTTAAAAGAGAAGCATAGCCAAAGCTTTTTGGCTATACTTCTCCTATGGATCACAGGAGTGCAGTTCGTTCTGCACTCCTGTGATACATTTTCAGCTGACAGAGGGATGAAGCATGCTTATTGACTCTTGCTTACCAGTCATATGGCCGATACAGGCTCTGAAAAATCCCGAACATATGGTCAGAATCCACCCAGAAGCCTGAACTGGCACCTGGCTCAGCCCCTAAGAGATCTACCAAGATCCTAAGCCAGCCCCTCCCTCCCCCTCCACAGCCTGCTGCTCCAGTGAGCGCTGGTGGGGCAGAGCAGAGAGTTGGTGACTGACACTCATGGCTCTCTGCTCAGAGCAGACGGATAGAAGTGAGCAATCGTGGCGTTTGATTGCTCAGCTCTCTGTGCAGAGCCGGCGGGGAACAGATGTAGCATCTGATCGATGCTGCATCCACCTAGGCGAGTATAATGATTTTTTTTCCCAAAACCCAATTCTTCTAAGTTTAAAATGCATATATTTTGCCTTCCCTGGTTCCTCCATTCCCCATCCCCTCAACATGCTAGTGAAATTATTACATGAAACCTTTCCATTTTCATTACAAACCTTATAATAGACCCAGTGACTTCATGGCATCTCTTTGCTTCTCTATGCAATGCAGGCAGACCAAGGCTGGTGAGGGGATTCTGCAGGGTTCTGTTCCTTGAGGCCAGTTCACACTAGTGCAGCAAGCATTTGCGTGGGCACAGCAGCCCATTCATTTGAATGGACTGCTGTGCTTGCATTTTATTCAAGGAAAAGGTGCATACGCCTTTTCCAAAACGCAACCCATCTCCCATGCGGGATGAGATGCGTGGGGGTGCCATTCATTAAAGAGAAGCACAATGCAGGTACAGGAACAGGTGCAATTCCTGCACCCGCACCAGCCCGCAGAATGTGGGAATAGCGTGAACCAGGGCTGAAACAAGAAGCTGTGGTAATGTCCACATGTAATGCAGAGCCTCCATTAATAAAAGAACTAAAATCCAATTATGAAAGGAGTGGGGGCTAGATGATCCTGGATGAGATGGGCTCTATCGGACTTGCTGCAGCTTCTAATGCACATTGTGAGAAATTTATAATGTGCAGTGAAATCAGGAGTAGGCAATGTCAGAGGTGCTTGTACAACTGTGTTGGACCTATGGTAAGGCTGGAGTTCAGCATTTATCACTTTGTCAACCCATCTCCTAATATCCATAAAAGTCTAAGATGTTCAGGACTTTTCACACTTGCTTGTTAACCTGGTAAACAGCAGGGCAGGCTATTTGTATTACCATGCCAACACTGGCAAACACTGGCACACACACACACACACACACACACACTAGATTGCCAAAAGTATTGGGATGCCAGCCTTTGCACGCACGTGAACTTTAATGGCATCCCAGTCTTAGTCTGTAGGGTTCAATACTGAGTTGGCCCACCCTTTGCAGCTATAACAGCTTCAACTGTTATGGGAAGGCTGTCCACAAGGTTTAGGAGTGTGTCTATGGGAATGTTTGACTATTCTTCCAGAAGTTAATTTGTGAGGCCAGACACTGATATCAGAAGAGAAGGCCTGATTCGCAGTCTCCGCTCTAATTCATCCCAAAGGTGTTCTATTGGGTTGAGGTCAGGACTCTGTGCAGGCCAGTCAAGTTCCTCCACCCCAAAACTCGCTCATCCATGTCTTTATGAACCCTACTTTGTGCACTGGTGCGCAGTCATGTTGGAACAGAAAAGGGCCATTACAAAACTGTTCCCAGAAGGTTAGAAGCAAGAAATTGTCCAAAATGTCTTGGTATGCCGACGCCTTATCAGTTCCCTTCACTCAGTCCACCCCCTGAAAAACAACCCTACACCATAATCCCCCCCTCCACCAAACCTTACACTTGGCACAAAGCAGTCAGGCAAGTGCTGTTCTCCTGGCAACAGCGAAACCCAGAGACATCCATTAGATTGCCAGACAGAGAAGTGTGGTTTGTCACTCTAGAGAACACATCACCACTGCCCTAGAGTTCAGTGGTGGTGTGCTTTTACACCAGTGCATCCGACGCTTTGCATTGCACTTGAAAATGTAAGACTTGGATGCAGCTGCTCGCCCATGGAAACGCTCTATGCACTGTTGTTGTGCTAATCTGACGGCCACATGAAGTTTGGAGGTCTTTAGCTATTGACTCTGCAGACAGTTGGTGACTTCTGCACACTGTGCGCTTCAGCATGTGCTGACCCCGCTCTGTCATTTTATGTGGCCTACCACCTCATGGCTGATTTGCTGTTGTTCCCAGTTGCTTCCACTTTCTTACAATACCAGTAACAGTTGACCGTGAAATATTTAGTAGCGAGGAAATGTCAAGGATGGACTTATTGCACAGGTGGCAACCTACCACAGTACCATGCTTCCCGAGAGTAACCCATTCTTTTACAAATGTTTGTAGAAGCAGTCTGCATGCCTGTATTTGTTTGATTTTATACAACTGTGGCCATGGAGTTGATTGGAACACCTGAATCCAATGATTTGGAGGGGTGTCCCAATACTTTTGGCAATATAGTGTGTATATAATGGAATTCTAGCAAAACTGACTTATTTCTGAACCACCAATGCTAAGTCTATACAGTCACTCATGCTCATCTTATTTAGAAACAAAGTTTCTCACAAAGTGGAGGTTCCGTGGAGCAAGTTGCAGACAAAAGCAGGCACACACTAACAAATGCAAACCATGCTGCCCTCATTTTTGTCAAAGGATTTCCAAAAAAATTTGGTCTGTTTGTGACTCTGACCCCCACAATCTTGTAAATCCAACCGAGATGGTTTTACAATGATCTGCAATAGATTTGTCATTAAAGATTGTATATATTTCCACCTTAATGTTGCTGTGCTGAGAATTGGATGAGACAGGAAGAGGAGGAGCAGTCTTCTTTCAAAAATGACACCTCCTCTTTCCAGCACACCACTTCAGCTTATATGGGAATGGCTAAAGGAGGGCAAAGGAATTGCATAGTTTAGCAGAGCGCTTGGAGTGGCTAGTTACATGTTTTACTTTTTAAATGTCTTTTCATCTTTATAACTACAATAAGTCTTGAGTGTCAGCATATATTGGTGTTGGCTGTGGCATGGCCATTCATAACCAGCTCTTTCAATCATTATGACGACTGATGACATCTCTTCTCATCTGTGCTTGAATTGCAGATTATCAGAACCTGCTGTTATCTAACAATTTTAGTTAGTGTATCCCATACTGTATTACCATGTTTGAGATAATGGGATAATGTTTTAGGTATGCTTTGCAGTTGATTGACAGAAGAATTTACAGCATTGCAGACAATTTTTGCAATCAGTAACAGACTTTGAAGCACTCTGATTTTAAAGAGGAACTGAACATTGCCTTTGGGCTCCTTGTTCCCCACCCTCGTGTCAGATCTGGCTTCCTGATAACTCGTAATCTTAGACGATGGAGAAATAATCAAGCACCTAAAGGTTAACAAAGTACAGATGAGTACGTGTACACACACACACACACACACACACACACACACACACACACACTTTAGTTCCGCTGATAAATTATTCAATCCCCTCAAGTATTACATTACCAGAAAGGGGTGCTCTGACTTGTGCTCAAGGGGGGATATCACTATATAAAAAATTATGAGCTGACAGTCCAAAGCCTTCCACCCAACACCCAATCATACTAAATAACCCAGCAAGGGCAAACACAAGACACACTCCACCTTACAGAATATATAAACTCATCATTTTGTATTTTTGATGTGTACCTGCTGTACCATGTATTTGTATGAAAAGTATGCTGTTCTCTGTATTTTGCTTCCTCTGTGTGAAATCCCTGCCAGTCTCTCTTTCTTATTAAAAAAAACAAAAACAACTGACCACACTAGACAGGAGAGCACAGAGTGGCCTGTTTTCCGGTTGTGCTGAGAAGTCAGACTGCCCTGCTCAAGGAAGGTATTTATAATTTTGTTTAAATGTAAACACAAATGTTTTGCCCTTCATTTCTATTAAAAGGTCTCATGCACATATAACATTTATTTAACTCTCCTAGAAGCCAGCAAAACAAACAAGGAACAAAATGTGACAGTCCTAGAGAATAGTGGTCTTGCGACAGGGTATGCTAATGCGTTTTGGGAGTTGAACTCCCTTCCTCAGAGCCGAAATCCCTAGACATGTTGGAAGCCTATATAGGAGAGCAAAATGTAGTAAGAGGCCGATTGAGCAAATCATGTGACTCTCACACGATGAGTGTGCACCCTTTTTTGCTTTCTTCCACTAGTATCAAGATTCCCCGATCTTTAGAGGGCTGCCTCAGCGAGTGACTGTCACCATGTTCCTGGAATGCTTAACCTCCCTAGCGGTCTGATTATGTCAGTATTTCTGTGCTCAAAGCATTACATTGTTTTCAATGTTTTTTTTAGTGTAGGCCTGTAATTCTTAGGAATAACTCACTGAAATCTGTCCAAACATGAGTCTAGTAAACATCCCGGGTATGATAAAGTTTGAAACACGAAATCATAAATAATAAAAAATAATAATATAGTAATACATTTTATTCAATAATTTAATCAAACCAAAAACACTGAAATTTGAAATACAGCGCCAAGTTCGCACATCACGGAGCTTAGTCGCAAAATCATTTTCAGTGTCTGATGATGAATTTCCCCAAAAATCATTATCACTCAATTCTGCAAGTGGTTCTGATTTACTATCGCTGTTCTCTAGCTGGTCTAAAACTGCTTTTGACCTAAAGGGACGCTTTTTGGACTCCAGGGACATTTCTCAGTTTTCAGGCAGAAAGAACAGTAAAATGCAGGCAGGGCACAGGACAAAGCATTCGGGACAAAATGTATATGCAATGGTTTGATACAGTAATGTAATACTATCAGATTTTAGTGTATTGAGTTAATGTCAAATTTTTACATTTTTGAAATTCCCACCGGTTCTGTCCCCCGTACGTCCCGACTCTTGCAGGGAATGGAACCCAGAAGACGGATGCCGGCATCGGCCGGAGGACATGGCCGGGGACGCAGGACAAGGTAAGTGCTGGAGGGATCCCAGAGCAACGTTGCAGTGTAATCCCGAGTGTAGCTCGGGGTTACCGCTTCTGGTACTGAAAGTTAATCCCGAGCTACACTCAGAAATACCACCAGGGATGTTAAAAACCTGGTTTAGCTTTTTTTTTTCTCAATATATTTTTTTTTCTTTACATGAAAAGGGAAAACATACAATGTGTTATAGATAGGTGTAAAGTAAATAAATACAAAATATCTTGTTCGTACAGCTTCGTCATTAAGCATTTCAAATTAAAGCAACATTTTCATTTTCTAGAGGTTTCCTGGTGAGAGAAGTCTTTCTGAAAAATACTGGCACCTATTTATTACATTTTCTCATAACAAATGGTGTCAGTGCTTTTTGCAGTGTGTAAAACAACCATAGAAGCTTTTTATGTAGCTCACAATAGTCCAACACAAGGCTATCCTTGAAAGTCAGAAAGGGCGTGCAACTGAAAGGTTTCAAGGCAATATGGTGCAAGGCACTTAATACTCGACTACATTATCTTAAAAATAGCCATTAACCAGATATTTGTTATAAGCGCTATGTATTCAATGACTTACTTTACAATGATTAAATGGTATAAATATTCCATTAACAGTAAAGGCCAAAACAATTCAGTAGCATCTTAGGAGCAACTGAGATAAAAAGAATGGAATGACAGACAAGCATCAATTATATTAGCTTTCTGTGCAATTCTCAGCTTACCAAGCGAAAGTGAGAGCGGGTACCTGCAAAAAAAAATAACAAATTCCAATACAGACAAGTGGGCAGTCGAAAGATCAGTGGAACTTCCGATAGAGAATACATTTACACACACACACGCCACTTTATTAGGTATACCTGGTACAATTGCTTGGTAACAACATAGTGAATACGACTTTCAAAGTTCAAACCGAGCATCAGAATGGGGAAGAAAGGGGATTTAAGTGGCTTTCAATGTGGGATGCTTGTTGGTGCCAGACGGGCTGGTCTGAATATTTCAAAAACTGCTGATCTACTAGGGTTTATAGAGAATGGTCCGAAAAAGAGAAAATATCCAGCGAGCTGCAGTTGTGTGCACGAAAATGCCTTGTTGATGTCAGAGGAGAATGGGCAGACTGATTCGACATGATAGAAAGGCAACACTAACTCAAATAACCACTCGTTACAACCAAGGTATGCAGAATAGCATCTCTGAACACACAACACATTGAACCTTGAAGCAGATGGGCTACAACAGAAGAAGACCACAGCAGGTGCCGCTCCTGTCAGCTAAGAACAGGAAACGGAGGCTACAATTTGCACTGGCTCACCAAAATTGGACAATAGAAGATTAGAAAAATGTTGCCTGATCTGATGAGTCTAGATTTCAGCTGCAACAATCGGATGGTAGGATCAGAATTTGGTGTAAACAACATGAAAGCATGGATCCATTCTGCCTTGTATTAATGGTTCGTGGTGGTGGTGGTGGTGGTGGTGGTGTAATCGTGTGGGGGATATTTTCTTGGCACTAGCAAGGTGAGTATATATACAGTGGGGCAAAAAAGTATTTAGTCAGCCACCAATTGTGCAAGTTCTCCCACTTAAAAAGAGGAGAGAGGCCTGTAATTGGCATCATAGGTAGACCTCAACTATGAGAGACAAAATGAGAAAAAAAAATCCAGACAATCACATTGGCTGATTTGGAAAGAATTTGTTTGCAAATTATGGTGGAAAATAAGTATTTGGTCACCTACAAACAAGCAAGATTTCTGGCTCTCACAGACCTGTACCTTCTTCTTTAAGAGGCTCCTCTGTCCTGCACTCATTACCTGTATCAATGGCACCTGTTTGAACTTGTTATCAGTATAAAAGACACCTGTCCACAACCTCAAACAGTCACACTCCAAACTCCACTATGGTGAAGACCCAAGAGCTTTTGAAGGACACCAGAAACAGAATTGTAGATCTGCACCAGGCTGGGAAGACTGAATCTGCAATAGGCAAGCAGCTTGGTGTGAACAAATCAACTGTGGGAGCAATAATTAGAAAATGGAAGACTGTATGACCACTGATAATCTCCCTCGATCTGGGGCTCCACGCATGATCTCACACCGTGGGGTGAAAATGATCACAAGAACAGTGAGCAAAAATCCCAGGACCACACGGGGGGACCTAGTGAATGACCTGCAGAGAGCTGGGACCAATGTAACAAAGGCTACAATCAGTAACACACTACGCCGCCAGGGACTCAGATCCTGCAGTGCCAGACGTGTCCCCCTGCTTAAGCCAGTACATGTCCGGGCCAATCTGAAGTTTGCTATGAAGCATTTGGATGATCCA